CACATACTTTTTCTTGCAACTGTACATACATACATACATACATACATACATACATACATACTGTAGGTATCTAGTTATGAGGGTAGGCAAAATCAGAAGCAAAGAACTGCTGCTGCCTATTCAGTATAAATGTTTCACATTTATTTGCAAGGTTCTCTCCAAAGTCAAATGATCAGCATCATTGTCACCTTGGTTTAGCTTTCTGTCTTATTTCATCAAAAGTTATTCCATGGGATCCCTATCCTGTTCTGGACAAAACTTTTTGCACCTTTGGACCAAAGTAACTATAGGAATATCTCTTCTGAACTTCCTGATCCATCCTAGTATCATCTTCAATGGTCCTGCTCCAACCAGCTCTGCAACCTTATCAATAGATGACTCCCCACCCACCCTGTTTCAGACTCCAAATAAAGACCTGTTGAATCTCCTGGCCTTTTAACATGGTTTGATTATCTACTTTGTTTCAGCTGTTTCATGGCATGTTTTAATGTTTCATCTCTATATTAATTTGTTTCCTTTGTTCATTGCCCTAAGAATTGCCGAAGGTGACTAACATATGGAAGGAAGGAAGGAAGGAAGGAAGGAAGGAAGGAAGGAAGGAAGGAAGGAAGGAAGGAAGGCGAGCAGGTAGGCAGGCATTGGAAACAAATATTACATTTATAATGTGCCCACCACCAGGTTGCAGTCCAACCACAGTAAAAATTAACAAATAAAAACTAAACAACAGTTAACAATTACTCAAGAATAAAATCAATGCATAACAAGTATTTTCTCTTTTTAAAACTTTCACACATGGAACAGCAATAAATTTTGTCAGTGAAGTGACTCCAGGAGACATTTTATCCCTCTCACGTGCACTGTTAGCAATTTGGAGCTGATACACTTATTTTAAGGAAATTTTACATTACAGTATGTAACTTTGACTCTTAAGCCACTTCATTATTTAACTAGTTTAGTTAACTAAGAGCCACCAGATCTTCTATGATATAGTCGTGACACCTAACCCCCCAGCTGCATGAGACATTCAAGCCTTCTTCAGGTGTTCACTGGAATGTGTGAGGGCTTGAAAATGGGAACAGGATAGAGCTGGCCAAACTCTCTAAAACATCCATGCATTGAACTAGAAGTCTGAAGAACAGTTGTACTTTCATTTGCTTAAATGGAAGGACAGTGAGTACCATTCTTCTCACTAATAAGGCAGATAATTTTTCAACTTCCCTGATGAATGTTGGTAGTCAAAGAGATGCAAGCTGTATCTTCAAAGACTGACAAACCTTCATCCATTCAGCTCACATCTGAAGAGGCCCCAGATAATTTTGGGAAGAAGAGCTTCAAACTTTCTACATTGGCCTTGGCTTCTTTTGAGTCTCAGAACAAATTTGGTTGGGCATTCACTGTTATGTAGGATGTGTTGCCATGTAAAACAGAGTTATGCATAACTTGGTATTCCAGATATATAAAATGTTCTATATAGAGAACATTTTTAAAGTACCTAGATACAAATATTCATAATTTTATTCTTAGAGCAACTTCACACTACTGGCATTGATCATATATTCCTTTTGGTGTCAGGGATAGCTACTCAAACATACAGGTTTGAAGTAAGGAAAAAGCCTTCTGAAGATGTGATCCTGTTATTGTTTGAGAACTAGTCAGAAATAGACAGATGTCTCGTATGGTTGGATCCTACTGTACAGAAGTCTCCCAAAAGTAACACCTGCGTTTGTATTTTTTTACCAAAATTTGTATGCTGACTACTCTAGGCAGCTTACAATAATATAAGTATTCAATATATAAAAGCACACCCACATGATAAGCTCAAGATACAGTCACTGTTGTCCACTACTGAAGACCCACCATTCTGAATGACAGAATGGTGAGGGCCATTCTGACCAAGTGGAAAGAGGACTCCATAGTGACAAAGCCGCTGCCTTCATTATTGTTAAGGGTGATATTGCCTCAAGTTGAAGGGTACTCCTTCCTTCCTCACAACACAGCCAATGGACAGCTGGGGTTAGCTTGTAATCTAACTGTGCTTCAACCCAAACAGACAAAAACACTGAAGGTGACATAAGAAGAAAGACTGCTTTCAAACTGCAGCAGAAAAAGGTACAGAGAATTTGCAATGGGACAGAGGTAAGTAAAAGCTGACATCATGTATTTTCCGCTCAAAAAACTGATTGCTCTGCCATGCTGGCAACGGGGCCACCAGACAGTACCATTAAGCTCATTATATGAACTGCTGCCATATGTCTATCTTGCATTAGAAGATTACTATTTGCATGATACTAGGTTGCCAAGAATAAGGCTTTTGGATATCAGAGGTTTACATATCAACAGGCACAGGTTGGGCCTTACTGCTGTAACAGTAGATGTTAGTCCTACAATTTATTGCATCTTGATTAAAATGAACCTATATGGTAAGGCAGTCATAAGCAAGTCTGATTATGTGCCATCAAGTCATGGTTGGCTCTTAGCAGCCACAGAGCTCATCCATGACTAACTGATCATCCACCTGCTGCCAGTTGTCCTCTTCTTCTTTCTTTCCATCTTTCCCTGCATTAGAGCCTTCTCTAGGGAGCTAGGTCTTTGCGTAATGTGTCCAAATTAGAGTAATTTGAGTCTGGTCATTTGCACCTTGAGTGAGAACTCTGGATTGATTTATTTGATGAACTATTTGTACTTTTTTTTTTTTTTTGGCTGTCTATGGTGTTCTCAGTAACCTTCTCTAACACCAAAGTTCAGAAGCATCAATGCTCTTCCTATCCTGCTTCTTTAAAGTCCAACTTTCGCTTCCATAGGATGTCACAGGGAATACCATTGCTTGCTCAGTTCTGATCTTTGTCCGTATAGACACCTCACAGCATTTGAATATCTTTTCCAAGGCTTTCATGGCTGTTCGGTCAAGTGCTAGGAATAAATCCCACTGAATCTAATCAGAGATGCTTCCTATTTGGGAATATAATTTCCTGATCAGTTAAACATAATTCCCCACCATCACCGCTTTTAAAGCCACACATTCCCAGAAGCACCAAAAGGAGGTTTCATTCCATTACCAATACCTGCTTCTGAAAGTAAGGATTTTCACTAAGACTGTAGCATGGAGCAAAAGATTTGAAATACCTGCCATATTAAATGCAACAACTTTCAGTTTGGCCCCAAAACAGCTACATTAAAAAAAAAAGAAAGCCAAATAACAAAGAAACATTATGATCCATGATGATGGGGACCAAAAGACAGCATGACGAGCTATAGCTCTGAACCCCACATACAAAGCATGGGATGCTTACAAACACTCAAGATGCTGAAAGGAAATGACAGAACAACACATCACTTTTATTGTAGACCTTTAAATGGAAATGTTTCATGTCAACTTATCATATCTTGCTCGAAGGGCCAAAGAAATTTTAAGTGGCCAATGATCACATCCTCCATAAAACAATATCTTCTAATTAAATCTTCATGTACCTTTTTATGTGACATTTCACTAAGTCATCATACTTTGGGTCCAACAGACACCTTCAGGAAAGAACAAGTTAGGGAAAGGTTACAGTTTTTTGACTGCAGAAAACCTTTAAAATATAAAATAAGGGGAAGATTATTGCCTTATCCTCTCTGACCTCTTTCTCAACTCAGCATATATGAAATAAAGTGCTTCTACTAAAATTCCCCGTACCTTTTCACTGAGTTTGTAATAGATGCCCAAATAAGGGATGAAACAGACAATACAAGATATGACAAATACTAGACCTTACTAAAGGCTCTGTTGACTTCCTGACATTGACTCAGGTACTCTTTTTTCACCATTTGAACTTTTACAGTGTCAGGGGAAGGTGGATTAGAAAAGTACTGTGCTGAATTCAAAGCTTTGGTTTATCTTTTCAAAGCTTATTGGAAACTTTTTGCTGAACTATACAGCACTGAGATCAAATATGCCAAAGAAATGACATCTTCTTGTTTCTGGATCATCTGAGCAGTTTTGGAGAATTTCATCCAAAAGAGACAGATAACAACTAACATCATCTGTCTCTAACATAAGGGCCACTTGCTCATGCACGTGTACACACTATCATTCCTTTGCTTTTCTTAACTCAAAAGTTCACGTGTCACTATTTTGTGACAAGTTGCTAATAACTATTCTAGAACAGGGTCTCCAGCACTCTCAAAAATGCCTGCAATACTGACAGTGGTGAAATATAAAATATCTGTTTAAATTGATAACATTGACCTGTACTACTACTGAGGGTCACAGCTGGGATCTCAAGCAAGTCCCTACTGGTAAATAGGCATACTTCCAAAAAAGCAGTGAGCAGCAGCAATCCACCATTTAATTTTCAAAGAATATATCTGGGATCGGTGAAAGTCCCAGAGGCATGACTGGAAAAGCAGGTCACAGTATACTTCAGGAAGGTGCATTGCTTCTCATTCAAGTTTTTAATTAAAGGTATATAAAAATAAAATTAAATGGGATAGACAGTTCGGTGAGCACCAAGGAACATGTCAGTGAGCACATGGTTAACCACAAATAATGGAGACTTTTTAAAATATGCTGCCATGTTTTAGATTAAAAACAAACAAACCCTAAATGCCTATAAATTAGGGTGGAGTTGATCTTGACAGTCATCATGGTCTAGAGGAGTATTCTATAACTTTCAGAAGTTCTAGTGAGGTGAACATACTCCTGTCTTAAACCACAAGACAAAGATTATTATTCCATGCCAGATTCAGAAATAAAGTCACTATGATCTTCACTTTCTCCATCATAATGACTATTTTTTCTGGACATTCATGAGGACTAAACACATTATTTAAGCAATCTAATTGCCTACTATCACATTTTTGGGGAACTTTTATGATGTCAGTGCACAGCTTTGGTTACCCCGTTTCTCCACAGCCAGCAGCACTGAAGAATGCCTAAATGTCACATTAATGTATGACAAAAATGACATTTCTTACCATTTTTAAGAACCATCTGTTTTTTAAGATCATATCAGTTTCTATTGCACAGGCCAATAAGGGCCATTAAGCAACAACTGGTCTCAGAGTCTTCAGAGTCTTCAGAGTCAGTCACAATGTAGATTTCACTAGGGATCTCATTTTCCTTCCACACTAGATCTGCAGGGCAAAGAAGACAAATGAACTATGAAAAATATAATCACGACTTTTACTGTTGCTTTTTTTGTCATAAAAATTCCATTTATTTAAATTCCATTAAAAGGCACATTTGGCTGCCAAGAGCATAAATATATAGTTTTCTTATTTTTACAATTTTTTATTATCCCCTCCAAAAATCTTTGACATTTTTTTCAATCAACATATTTAAAACAAATCTCAAGCCATAATCTAACTATTTTGTTCATGCCCCCATATACTGATGAACTACACTGGGTGATTAGGGATATGAACACAAAATCAGGTTAGCATACAAGATTTGTCAAGGTATAGATAAGACATATTTTGTTTCAGTTGTATTTACAAAAAATAAAATGTAGGTAGGTAGGTAGGTAGGTAGGTAGGTAGATAGATAGATAGATAGATAGATAGATAGATAGATCGATAGATAGATAGATAGATTTAAGTAAATAAACAATAAGACACACCCCTCTGACTATTAAAGGGATAAGAGGGAGGGGGTAAGGGAGAGGGTTAGAGTTAAGGTTAGAGCTGATACCACTAATAGTTGGTATTTTGTGTTTGATGATATAAAGATCTAACTATTCAACCTGATTCTACATATACATTATGTACATGTTCAGCAAACCTTTACTTTGGGCAACTACATGATGTGTTTAAGAAGGAATCACTTGCAAGGACTAAAACCCAGTGAATATGTCATACAGCTGCTAAACCACATCTCTCATAAGCCTTTTGGGGTCATTATCAGGGACTTCAAACCTTTCTAATTTTCACTTGTCTTGGAATCAAAGCCAACAGGTAGTTCTAATGTGAGAAGGTTCCATATTGCAATGAGATGTTCTACCACCAGCTCTGCACAAAGTACATCCCATCAAGCCACATAGACCCCCTATTGCCCGTTACAGCCCAGCCAGCCTGAGACTGCACAAGCAGAATAGTGCCAGACTCAGAGGACTGGTTTCAGACTGGAGATTCAAACACCTTTCATCAGTGGTGTTACCTATGTGTTGTCATAGAACTAAGAAGACTATTTCAGGTTATATCAGGGACCAATGCAGACACACATAATGACCCATGACTGCTTTTTCAAGTCTTTAGTCCATTAATAGCGGTCCATAGTATCAGAGCAATTAGATTTCAAATTCTTACTGCCCTCTTTCCTTCAAGGATAATGTGGAACAAAAGAAACCTTCGGTAACAAACAAAGAAATGAAAGAGAAGGAACAACAGTGAAAAGTTCAACCTGTTCTGTTGAAGTAAATATCCTTCAATGAAAGACATTTCGTTCTCTCACTTAAAAAAAAACCACCACCACAACAAGCAAGGTTTATGGAAAAACATTTCTATTCTACATATAGTTTTGGCTTGGTTCCACAAAATGAACAGTACAATTGCTTCAATTTAATTACTACCCCATGAAGCATTCTGACAGCCCCAATGCAATGCTTAGCAAGCGTTTTGCCTCAGACAGCTTCAAGATGTATTGCAGCACTGAAATTACAATACATACCATGACTTGTTCTGTCATCCCACTTTGAAAAAGCAGCAAGCTTGTCTCTTTAATAAGCTGTCTGATATACCACCCATTTCACTGTAAAAACAGAGGTAAAATGTAAGTAGCCATAAGTTACCAGTCATAAAGCTTAATTTTATAATACATACAGGGCTATTAGAAGTATTGTGGGCCTGCATACATAGGCGCAGGCACTCCGTGTTTCATTTGTTTAATAGGTGGATTGTTCAACAAGGGCTTCATTCTCATCAATCAGCAAAAGGAAAGGTGCGCTGCTTCCAATTTAAAGTCAATACGTTACCAAATCAAGAACGAAAAAGAAACTACCAAATGATAGTCTCTCTTTTTAATGAGCAGTCATTTTTTTGTTTATTAAAATACAAATTATCTCACGTTTCCTTCAATATGTTAAAAAGGCACCTATGATTCAGGTTTGGGTATATGCCAATATATTTAATCAATTAATTGATGGATTAGTTAGTTAAAGGGCAGATGATAAATCAAGGTGCAATTTTTTTCACTGGTTGACAGCCTATTATATAGAATAGAATGCACACACAGACACAGACACACACACACGCCCAGTTTGCTCCAATCTAGTGCCTCAGTTAGGAAGACTGCAACCTGCAGATTTTCCAGCCACACGTGGAGAATGTCAATTGGGAATGACTGCACTAGTTTCTCAATACTCAATACTGGAAAAACATTTTCTAATTTGGTAATGAAGCACGGGATTTCTAAATATTGCGGGCATCAACTTTGCCATCCCCCTTAATGAGCAATATGAAAATCATATGAATTTACATCAGAAACAGCACATTTATTGTTCTAACTATTCAAACGACCAAGATACATTTATTTAATCCATCCTTACCCCACTTTCTATGGCCAAGATATTGTAAGGTGAAGTAGGTCATGTTCAATGTTTTTTAAAATGGAATTCATAATAATTATATAAATTAACAACTCTTGAAAAGTTCAGTGGAAAACCATTTTAAAAGGGGAAGACATATTCACATTTAATATTGTACTCACGTTGAGTGGTGGACTTACAGCCCTGTAGTGTTGCGAGTAACAGAAACAATGGATCTGAATTCTCCTAGGCAAATCTCACTTCTGTTAGATGCTTTCTCAGGTGAGGCATTACACGTTTTGCTGATAGCAATATTACAAAAAAATATGCTTGAATCAACAGCTGTTTTTGCTTTTGACATATTGTGGTGCACGTTTACCTAATATTTGGAATAGATATTTGATCTAGGGCAGTTTGCATAATTTAATGCGATTACGATGGGGAGAATCATTGGATTTAATTACTGGCAAATGAGAGGCAGGAAGTTAGTAGTTGTTTTTCTTTCATTTTTCCTTTTAGGATTTGTATGGGGTTATTTCCTGTGTGCTTTATTTGACAGGTGGGACACATTACAATTTAAGCTTTGAAAATAACATCCAAATTTAACAATGTAATATTCTGTATGAATCACTCACTACAGCTGTATGTAACCATGCTTTTAAAAAGCAAATATACTAGCTATGCCAGAACATGGATAACAGCCCTGGATTAAGCAAAAGAAGCACCTGCTTAGGGCACCAAGGGGAGGGCGGCACCACAGAGTTTTTTCCCCTAGCTATCATGCCCTTAACTCATTCACTACCACATTCAACTTTAGTTTTCAGCACTTATTGAGTCTTAATGGCTTGTGGGTTAAGCAATGGAAGGGCCCAGGGGCACCATTGTTGAGCTGTGCTTAGGGCATCATTTGGCCTTAATCCAGTCCTAACAGACAGTCCTTCCAATACTTCTTCAAATACATCTCCCATTGAATGCGTTGCAGAATGGGCTTAGGTAGAGCTACCATATCTGGGCTGAAAAGATCCAGATGACCATGGGATGACAACAAACATTTATGAAAAAATCTTTACTCTGGAACTGCTTACCAACATGTCCTGCTTAACCATAGGTAGCTCTTTGGAAATGGAAAGCAATGCTGTTATTTGTAAAGTAAATATTTATCAAACATTTAAATGCACAATGGGAATTATTAGAAGACAATTAACTATGCCTCATTATAAAGTTGAATAAGTTAAATAATTTTCCCAACATGGTGTCTATCAGCTATACTGGACTTCAGATCCCATGATTTTAACCAGGATCCCAGAAGGTAACACACGTTTGGCCTTATGGGAATAAAAACCCAACACATCTGGAAAGCACCAGGTTTGGGAAGGTAGAGATAAAAGATTAATGGAAATATTTTTTGTTAGGTTTGTTAGTCTTATTTAACACGGTATTTCTCCATTCTGCAGTGTTCAAATACAACCGTATACAGGTTTATACACAGCAGTACATTCTACAGTTTCTCTCATAAAAACAATTGTGCTCAGTCATGGTGCCCCAGCATTACTCTTTGTAAAGGCATACATAATGTAGTTTGTTTGGTTTTTATTTATGTGTTATATGACCCTAGCCATTGTTGTTTCTAATCCATGGTTTATGGTTGAGCATATGAACTCAGCCAATTGCAACTTATTCAATGAATCTGTTAAACTAAGCTTAGTTTAGCATGAAGTGCGAATCCAGCCCATGTCTACACAAAGGCAATCTGAGCTCTTTCAAGATTTATGAGCATTGAAAAGATTTTTCTCAGAGTTGTTTCTAGTTTTGTACTTTCACTGCATTAATTCTCCCTTAAAACCAATCCTAGTGTTGCAACAATCACATCAGAGATACTTAAAACTCTTTCTGCTCAGTGTTGTTCTGTGCAGGAACCACATTGGTAAGCATCTTACTGGGAGTATACAGGCTGGCAAGCATGTAACTCCCTGTATAATCCAACACACGTTACAAAAATATTTACAGAAGTATTTTGATAGCAGTGGAGTAACTATATTAGTTCTCAGTGACACTAGAACAAGAACCGAAGGGCTTGACATTTTGAATTTAAGTGAAACAAATATTCATAAAAAATATGGCTCAGCTCTACGTCTCATATGACAGTTTATATTTTCATAAGAAAACCCTTCTATCTTTTTCATATACCGAATCAGTAAAACAAAATATTGCTATTGTAGAAAGACTATATCGTCACTCAGATGCTGATGTAAACCTGTTTCTGGACTGTCCCATTTCACACCACTCGCATTGAAGCAATTAATAAGAACAACAACAACAAAAATCATCATGCCTGTATCCTATATACACAATTCAATCATGTAGTATCAAATGTAAAAACTAGGCACTGATTTATTACATGACTGAAAATTAAAGCTCATGATTTGTAGCATCATTTTATTGTTGCTAAACTCACGCCTCGGTCCTCACTGAAGCTAGTCAACCTCACTAGATTAATAGCCACAATTGCTGACATCTAGTGGGAGGTGATTGAGGAGCGGGAAATTCCCAAGCCTACATTTAAATATGGAGAAGCTTCCTGGCTGATCTGAGAAATATGTATCTGCACTAGGGTGAGTACCCAATCCACAACCATGCTGTTGCACAACACACCCATCATCGTTAGTACCTCTGATGCTCTATGATATTGCCAATGATCCCCTGCTTTGTCAGCCCACAAACTATGAGTACTAACACTACTTTTAGTGTAAGGTTACAGTAACAGAATCTTGCAAGTCTGAAAGCATTTCTACCCTCCTTTAGTTTTACTTTCCAGAAAACAAGGGAGGGTCCCTTCTGAGATGCTTCCCACATCCCTTTTGCTTCTGTGGGCTGAGATATCTTTTGCATGATGGTTGTCTAGGCTGTGGCTCTTCCTCCTCTCTCCCAAGGTCATTCCCACAGACCATTACACCCTTCCCTTTCAGATCACTACACAGCAGTTGCTGGTATTTCTCTTAGTGGATCCCATTGGCAGCATTTGTCACTCAGCTAAGCCCACTCATATGTATCCAGACCTCTTCCTGCAAACCTCAGATAAGACTTAGCACCTGAAGAAATGATCTTACATACTATAAAAACAATCACCACCAACAGCCTTGCAAACAGAATATAAGCAAATCAAAGAAAAGATTACCTTAGAACTCTCCCTCTTCCTACTTTAGCATCTTGTTTAATGAAGACGTCTACAACTAGGTAGAAAGTTACCACCCCATCAAAGATCAGGCTGAAAAATATGATCATATTTATATTAAACAGTGCAAAAGGATGCCTCCCCAATGGGCAAGTATCAGCCTCAAGCCTGGAATGAATGTTTATGTCATTTGAAAGCAAGGCTTTCTGCTTTGGAAAACCAAACTGTCAAGAAAACAAGAAAAACACTCCTGAACAAAGATTTTAAATAAAAAGTGGAGATCAGTTTCACAGGCTATTATGCTGTGGTGGGCACAGTACCTCGAGCCCAAGCTAGGCTTCTTTGAAAAACGCATTTCTCTTTTATTTGAAGATAAAAAGCAAAGTTACAAGGTCAGGGGCTACGGGGGAACAGCTAACATCTTTGTGTGCTTTGAGGTTCATAATGGCAGTATATTAAAGCTTCTAGCATATTCTGTGTCTGCCTTTAGTACATGGATTAGCCATAACACAATAGTGTAAGGGAAGTTTATCTACATTGTGAATGACAAACCTTTATTTTTGCATGTTAACACTCTGCTAAAATATGGCATAACAAAGAAGTAATGTATGATTTATGGATCCCTCAGGAAGACCACTGTTTATAAATGTATCTTAAATAACGATTGACAGGAAGCCAGAATTAAGTGCTCCTCTTGCAGTAAAATAGAAACACATAATGGTTCTTGTACTACTGTGTTATGTCTGACAAAAGCAAAATTTGGTCTGTTGAGGACTCAACCTAACAGTAATGATTAATAACATATGGTGTCATTGCTCATTTTGCAATTACTTCCATAGGAGCCAATCTAAAGAAATATGGCTTAATTCAGTGGTCTTTTACAAACTAGCCTCAGGAATGACAAGTGAGATTCAAACCACTAATATGAATTTGCATGGCCACTAGCCTCTTGTTGCATTAGGTTCCTGAGTCCAAGGGAGACTGAAAAGGTGTTGAGTGCAGATATTTGCATATCTAACAATATGCATGATAATTTAAGGCCCTGTGATATTCCCCATTAGAATGGGCAGAGAGATTTTATCACTTTCCCTCCCAAAGATTAGGGCAAAAGTCAATCTGAACAGAATTTTTTTCATCTTATTGTTTTAAGCAGATACACAGAGCACTTCAAAAGAAAAATAAACAAGCAAATTGCCCTTAAAAAGGAGCATTGACAATCCTCTGCAAATTATCTGGATTTTATGCATATGTATGTTGGTGCCAACATTTGGCATACATGGGGTCCAGCCAGTTTTAATTTGGAGGCAGATGACAACACCCAACTAAGACCATTATTGGTTAGGATATCTCCTGGCATACATTCCATACTGTGCTTTGTCATATTTGGCTTCTTATCGTGACTGGAGAAGAGGAGACACTTAAACTGCACTTTTGACATTTTAGAGAAATGCTAGAAATAAAAGCGTGTGAGACTGATATTTTCTGTCCTCTTCATTTCCTTACGGTCACTCAGCCTCAAGAATTTAGAGCACCTTAAACGTATAATGGGCAAATCTTTCCACCTTACCTCCCAGCTGGGTGGGACAAACTAAGCTGCTTTCCAGAATAGTACAATACAGTACTGTACAGTACAACACAACACTTCACAATAAAAATAAATGTTGGCTCTCCTAAGTCTATTCAGAAAAAAAAATGTGAGTTTAGAAGAGCGAAAATCAAAAGCTACATATTTAACCCAATCTCCACTCTATGATGCTTCCCGAATATAAAAGGCTTCTCTTTCCCTTTCCTGTTTTCTGATGGTGGAGTTGGAGATCATCTTGATAATGGGAAATATCTTAGCCTTCCTTCCACACCATTGCTAATGAGAATTGGCAGGAAGGAATGCTTGCTAGAGAAAGGATTGCTTTGATAAGTCTCGTTCATAACTGGGGTAGATACCTTTGAGGATGTTCATGCGTGCCCTTTTTTCCAAAGCTGCATGAGACTTGCACTGGCTATGCCTTCTGCTTACTGCACTGATAAACCACATAGTGTACACCTCAGTGGAAAAAGTCAGTCCAGACCATGCTTGGGAAAAACCAAATGAGTTCATCCTAAGGACAATCCAGCAACAACACACAAGACAAACAACAATGCTAATATTTATACCCCATCTTTCTATTTATATAAGTTGTCAAGGCAGCTTCCAGTAACAAAACAAATATTTCCTACAACTAACCTCTGCTGTACTATTCTCTTTTGGGGGGACAGATCACTTCAGATACACCTTTACATTTCTGTTATTTTCCCTCATGTTGATCTCACTGCTCAACATGATGTGTTTAGGGCTTCCCTGGGACTCTGCTGTGAAATGTATTTGGGAAGTAATACTATAGAAACAGCCCACACACATGGGACTGACAGAGAAGCAAAAACATTCCTTCAAGGCATTAGGTAGAAGATCAGAGAAGAAGCTACCAAGAGCCAGCTTTGTTTCTTTCTCATGATTTGCCACCATCCTCTTGCACCCTATGCCATGCAAGTGTCCATGGTAGGCTCAAGCAGCTGATCTGGAATATTCTCCACATATGACAGTGTTGTCCAAACTTGGCCAGTTTAAGATGAGTGGACTTCAACTCCCAGAATTCCCCAGCCAGCCATGTTGAAGTCCACTCATCTTAAAGTGGCCAAGTTTGGACAAGACTGACATATGCTATAGCTTAGAATTCCCTTTCTTCTTTGGGAAGGGTAAGCTTGCTTTAGAAAGCAAGGGGATGCAGCAGAGACAGCAACTTTTAGCAACTATGAAATCTTATTAGCCAGACTATATTTGGAAGGGTTTGAGTTCAGTTCTTAATACACCAGGAAATTCCAAAAGAGGAATATTCATCAGATGTCTCCATTTCCGTATGGAAAATAAATGAGTGAAAATTAATCTTATCAGTGATTTTTTAAAAAATAATATGCACACAAAACAAATATTCAAGAATGAAGCCATGTAGTTCCATTGCCTATTTATATGTCAGACACATATACCAGTGAAGGCTTGAGTCTATTAATAATTAAAGTAAATCCACACTCAAAATTAAAGTAAATCCACATACAAAACAAAGGTTTAAATATAAAGTAATCACATCTATTCTGAAAAATAATTAAAGTAAATCCACACTCAAAATTAAAGTAAATCCACATACAAAACAAAGGTTTAAATATAAAGTAATCACATCTATTCTGAAAAATAATTAAAGTAAATCCACACTCAAAATTAAAGTAAATCCACATACAAAACAAAGGTTTAAATATAAAGTAATCACATCTATTCTGAAACAGAGTGTAATCCAGAGCATGATGAAAAACACCCTACCTTGAATGCAAAGCCTGCCAATATGGTTATGCTTCTGTTTTACAGTATGTACCTATCCAGACTAAGCAAAATCAGTCTCCGAGAGTCCCTTCTGGCCAGGAAGACTGAGGCATCATGCTTTTACACATCTCAGGGAGAACCAGTGTGGCATAGGGGTTAAAGTCTTGGACTACAATTGGGAAGATCCAGGTTCAAGTCCACTTTCAGCCATAAAAGCTCACTGGCTAAGTTGGGTCCTTCTCTCTCAGTCCAGCTACCTCATAGAGTTCTTGCTGTGGGAAAAATAGGAATAGCATGGTGCCATGACCTCCTGCATGAAAGATCAGATATAAGTGTAAGAAATACTTTCTTTTAAAATCAAACAGTGCATACATGGGCTTTACTACCAGAATCCTTTTATAATATGCCTAACCTGGACCATTTATAACCTACAAGCAGCAAGGATGAACCTCCTATTAGTTAGAATACCATGACTGACTCAAATGGCAGATGTGGTGGAGGGGCTTTATCTCCTGCTCAGCACTCCAGAGTAGAAAGTCTCATTTACTACCAAACTGGGCATGGTGTCTGATTTAGCTGTGTTTTCCTAGCATATGGTGGGGAGAGTTTTATGCGAAAGTATCTGAATAAGCATGTGGGCAGAAAGCTAAGAAGCCTAAGCCACACACTCCAGAAAATACCATGTGTGTGCATGCATTAGTCCATTCATTTAGCACATGCTGCCAACATTGCATTGTAGGCTGAGTGATGTGAGGCAGACAACAGAGCTGTGGGGAAATCATTGCAAAAACCTGGAGGACAGAGATCAGTCATGCATGCCAAATGGCTTGTTTGGGCTTCCTTAGTTAGACTGTCATCCACACATCCAGGTTCGTTGGCAACCTGCTGGCGTGAAGGGCAGGTATCTTTTATCTTTTGGCCAGCAAAAAAGCTTTAACCTGCCCCTGACCAACATCTTCAGCTGTGTTTTTAATTCATCATGCCAGTATACTTGACAGAGTATTAATAAAATACATTCCCTATGCCCAGCTTTGTCCTCAAACATTGTACCCACTGTAGTTTTAGCTTCTGAACAATCTTCCAGGGCAGTCTCACAAGCTGTGAGGCCAGCAAGACAGGATTCTTATTCTCCGAAAAAGTTGATGGTTGGTTTTAGTAGAAGAATGGGTCACTGACCCATTGAAACTTGCCTCTTGGCTATCCATGGAGGTAATAACTAACATTGAGAAATGGAAACATAAGAATGTAGGCTAGGAAACAGAACAGGTAACTACTGTCCAATTTGGCCTGGAAGTTTCCATTCCTGGGAGAGTTCCTGATGCTTCACCAGGCCCAAATTCTGGTTCACTACTTACACAGAAAATCTGTTCCAGTGAACAGTAGGAGGAGAAATAACCTGCCTTTTAGACTAATTATACAGCATACAAATTAAGGATTTTACCTTATGTAAAATGAGAGGACTCTGGCCCTGCTCTCAAAGAAGAAATTAAAAATAATAAATATAAATATACAAAAAATAAATCAACACTTCTTGTTTAAAATCTTCATCTTCAGAGAAATGTTTGCTGTAATGGTGGTGATGGAGCAGCAACAAGAAGAAAGAAAGAAAATACAAATAAGCTTGCTGTGGTATTGTTTTAAAGTCTTTTTCACAGCCAGAGATGGCAAAATTGACTTGTTTGATTAGGGAAAAGACAATAGCTACATTTGTCAGTGATTGGAAACCCTTTATGGACTTTTTGCTGAAAACAGGAAAAAATGAACTTGTGATTTATGGGTTTGATTATTCGAAAGGGTAGAATGTGGAAAGAAGGGAGCTATGATGTAACCTTAGAGAGAGAGGATAAATTAAAAATGCATTTGTAACTGCTGTAAAAAAGTTCGGAAGCCACTTCTCTGTATCTTTTCCCCTTTTTCTTTCTTTGTCCTTTTTCTTTCACTTCTTTTCTACTCATCACTTTTCTTTTACTTTTCTTTACTTTCTCTTTTCTTTAAATTTTCATTGTTTTCACTTTCTAAAAAACTACTTTAATAGAAATTAATTTAAAAAACATCTTTTGACAGTGATTAACTGTATCTGTACATTCTCCATTCTTTCATTGCCAAAGTATTCTATTCACTTGAGCCATGCCTGCACTATATATTTCTTATTCCTCTCATTTTTCCCAGGAAGGATGAATGCCAACCCTGATCTCCCCCCCACCCCTGCCACCACCACCCAGGTCTGAAAAAGTAACCATTTTAGTTCCCCTCCCTGTGTTGTTGCTTCCATCCACTCTCTCCACCCAGCCATCAACACAACATTCCAAGAAATCTGGTTCATTTTCCATTTTAAATAGTGAATGCTGAACTCTATATGTAATCTTCTAAAACATGTCAGAAAAGACATAAGATTTCTCCCCATTAAAAATAAAGAAATAAAAATAAAAAGGTAGAAAGGTAGAAAATAACATAAATAGTTTTATGTAGCACATGAAACTTCAAAATAATGGGAACCCTTCAATTTAGAAATGATTGGGGTTCTAAGCACATGAATCATAGAGAATGGGAAATTATCAGAACACTCCAAGCATTTCAATTCTGAGGTAATCAGGGATTCTGGACTTACAGAGCAATTTACCTGGCATTTGTAGGAAAGCCTCACTCTTTCAAACTGAAGCACACTTAACAATATGAAGAACTCCAATGATTTTAAATTGCTGCATATCACACATGTCCAGAAATCCAATTTATTCCTGAAATAAAAACATTGCAACTTCAAAAGTATGGAGAGGTCCACCCACAACATCAAATCAATCTAACCATACCAATTTGTGTGCCAAATCAGTCAATTTGTTATTTCCTCCAACTTAGGAGTCATAGCACAAAGAACTATTGCAAACAATTTTTAACTCTCTTGTGTACTTGTACATGACATGTATCCTTTTCTTCCTTAAAATTATGGTCTTAATATATTCAGTTTTCACTTCAGTAAATTTTCAGAATGCTTTTCATGGTGTTCAGTGGTGCCCATAACAAACTGCAACAGCATCAAAATAGTGACATATGCATCATGAGGTCATTATTCAAATGACATTATTATCTCATTTGCATCATGATATCACAACATGCATCATTTGCCCACCTTGTCCCTTCTGGCAGATGCCTATGGGGGCATTGAAATGTTTGATAAACTGATAATTCTATAAACAAATCTGAATATTTCCAGACCATTCACAGAAATTCTGAGACAAGACACAGAAAATTACAACCCATGTGGATATGCGTGCTTGAACAGTGACCATTTCTTGGACTTGTTTTAACACAAATTAAAACTTTCTACAGGAGAATGTCCTACTTTTCCCTATGGAACTGGTTATCCAAAGATTCTCATTTTTAAAACTTGGGATTACTTGTAGTCTTTCTATGCATGAAGTGAGAATCTGTAGCAGGGAATTAAATGGGGCATCCTTTGCATTCACTGACAAATACACCTCATAGAATTCATTCTGAATAGAAGATTGCCAGCAAGGACACAACCCCTTTTCCAGACAGTGTGTATCATTCATTCACTGATGACTGAATTCACACGGTGGAGTGAGGCACAGTGTGGCTTGTTTGATTTTGATTTACAGTATTATGTGAACTCAGTCATTGTGGTTTGCAACATATTTATGGCATAGTTCAGTGTGTAAACTCAGACCACTGTGGCTTATTCAGCATGATTAAGTGAACCACAGCTTAGTACAATGTGAACCAGAGCAATATGACATTTTTAAAATACTGAGGAGACTCGACTTTTCAAAAAATAATGCTTTATTCAAATGTCTTGCTCCTTTTTTCTCTTTTTTTTTTTAGCTACTCAAGCAGAGAGTACTTTTAATAAAGTTAAAATGTAATGTTTATGTCCCTACCTTATTCAGGTCAACAGCAGCACAGCAAGACTTCTTACTTTTTCTGTGGCCATTTAACTGCAAAAGACATTGCACAGAGTTGTTTGACAAGGCAGTTACAGCACATCTGTTTTAGCTGTGACAGCTGTGCCTTTGTAGCAATTAAAAAGTTAGAAACATCACCACAAAAAGTGAAACTCAACAGCCAAAGCTTTCCTGAGAATGTCTAAATTACTGCATAATGTGTTGGTTTCATCTTTGGTTCTCTTCAGTAGATACCATCGCTCTTTGTGATACAGGTGTTAAACAGCCATTGTGCCTCATTGTTTGCAATCATGTTTGAGATGGAAGGCACAGATATGTCTTGTGCCTCTTACTTTCTTCAAATCTTTTTCTTCCTCACAAACATAGCTTGTCTGCTCATTGTCTCTGAACTCTCCATGCATCTTTTCAGTCATTCTAATTAACTATATTATTTTTATCTTAGATTTAAAAAAAAACCAAACTGTACTCCCATCCTGTTAAAAATATTTACTAGAACAGACTTTCCAGGCCATGAGCTTATGAGATCAGCACCCATGGTTGACTCTGTGTTTGGATATATTTCTAAAATGTATTTCATTAGAAATGTCAATTTTCTTAGATAAGAAAAAGCCAATGTGCTTCATGTGATACCCACAAATCTTTCTTATCTTGTTCAGCATTTAAGGTAAAACTGCATATTCCTTGTCATTACTGAAGGTGAATTCATTATTAAAACATTTAAAAGTGTACTATTTTATAGAAACTGCTTAAGGAAACATAGTTTTACATTCCTTTTCCAAAGATTAATAGCTTTATTTGCTCAATTAAAACATATAAAAGATGATGATGATGATGTAATGCCTTGATTGCAGAGTATTCCTCTGCCCAACACTGAGACCTGCCAAAGATGACAGTTTGGAGTAGTAAGTATGATATAATGCCAGGGAGGCCTTTTAGATTGCGATGATGCCAACATTGTTTTCATTTTGGTGCCTAGTGAAGTCCTGTCATTCATTGAGATCCATTGATGTATGATGATTCCGTCAGAATTCCCCTTCTTCTTCACTCTCACTCTTCCTTCACATATTCATTTTGTAATTTGATCCTCATTTATTTTCTCCATATGATCAACCATTTCAGTATATTTATTTTGTACCAGTCACCATATTTGTATTCAATCCACATTTGTCAGCACCCATTCACTCTTGACCCTATCTCTTCTTGTTTTACAAAACATGCTTCTTGAGTACCTCATTCCTGCTGCATTTAACTTACTTTGTGTTTCTGGCATATACTGTACAACTTTCACTTCCCTATTACAAAACATGCTCATATAGGCAGCCATCTTCGCTTCTTTTGACAAACAGTCATTCTTTGCAACAGATCACATAATATTCATCCCCTTTCTACAAGCATTTGAATGTCTTAAATTTTCTCAATCCATGTTTTTATCTTTAGTAAACATTCTACTAATGTAATGCCTACTTGCATTTTTTCACTGTGTAGGTATAACTTGCAATTACTCTCTCAAACTTCCCCAACTGTTAAGCCCTCTGAGGCTGGCAAGCTCAGGAAACAAGAACTGTTTAGAGATCTGGAAAGAACTTTGTTGCTGGTAAGGTAATTAACAGAATCTTGAAAGCCTAGCAGAGTAATGCTCCCACACAACTTAAATCTAGTGTAATTAAGGTGAAGTTATTCTAAATCTCTTTCTCACACTTCCCCCCTCCTCCGGGCTCAAGAATCTCTTTTCCTCCTTTAACTGTCTTGCTGGTCTCCTCTGTGTTCCCAAGGTCTGCTAGGCATTCCATCACTTCATCAAACACAACTACATTGATCCTTGATACATTAATTTTCAGATCCATGCTCCTCATAGTATTATATAATCCATCTACCATTTGCTGAAGGTCCTTTGGGCTCATAATTGTCAACACAGTATTGTCTCTGTACAAAAGTGCATATATATTCACATCCCCAGCCAACATGGGCTATTTCAGGGCTGGAGTTATCATTCTTCTACATCAGATGACTGGGAAAATGGTAAAATGGTGGAGCCCAGGACATTTTTTGAAAAATAAAAGCCCAGGGGTAAAATCTAAGTACTCAGGAAAAGAAAAATTGTAATTAAAATAAAGTTGCCAGCTTTCAAATTGGCAATCTTAGGCCATAGCCATCTTGCTATTTCAGCTCTGGTGCTAAAGGCTGTTATTGAATCTATCTGAATGCTTGATATTTACTGAATTGAATATTTGAATATTATTGAATGCATTGGCTCAGCTAACGGGGCTTTCCTTTTCCTGCAAAGCAGTCAATGAATTCCTGAGGTTAACCTGCAAAAAACTGAAGCATCCCATCCCAAATGGACAGGAACACTTCAGGGAACATTTCAAGGAAAATGTTCTTTGGAAGGGGAGCAGAAAAATGCACCCTGAGTTGATTCAGAGATAAGTGGGGGATCAATAGAGGGCAATGCTGGCTGCTTCTCTCCTCCAGAAACTACCTGCCCATTCATTCAAGGGGGTGGGGGGAGGATTTGACAGTTCAGTAAGCCCATAAATATTAACTTAGGTACTGTTTTCAGATTTTCCATGAACAGTAAGTTTTCATCAACCTTATTACACTGATGTAAGCTGAAATCAAGATATACTTTAAATATAATTTAAAATATTTGCACATTTTACTCATATTATACTTGTGTTAGTTTATTGAATAGGATGCAGTCCATTTAAGAGAAAGTGGGGAGGTTTTCTTGATAGACTTAGAAAATGGACCATTTAAGAAGAAAATATTATTTTCTTAAAAGGTTTTAGAAAATTATACCTTAGAGAACTATATTAATAGTTAATACTAGTGGATATTAATAATGCCCACTCTTTCTCCATGTACTATCTTATATTTTCCTCAGAAAATGATGCAGAAGTAGCAAAGAATAGCAGACACTGCAGAAGTACAAGCTATGTTTATTTTTAAAGAAGCTATTAAAGTATCTTCTGCAAAATAAAGTAATGAAGATGAACCATGTTCTAGCTAAAATGGGGATAAATGATTGGATTCTGCTTAAAATCTATTTTTCTTCCCGACTGATCTCTTTATTTTATTTTATTGTGCCTGAGCTGTGGATGATGAGAAGAGCTAAAAGAATAGGAGGTGGCACTCTCAAATAAATTGGGGAGGGGGAGCGACCAATCAGATATAGAGGTAATGGCAAATCAGGCTCTGATTGGCTGGCCTCTTCCCATAGGCATCTGAGGCACCTAATGGAAGGGGGTTTCAAGGAAGAAAATGATTGCATTTATAACTACATTTTTCTTCTCCTCCCCTATTATCCCATTCCCTGCCTCGCAACTATTCAGGAGAACCAAATCTATCCAGATATAACCAATTCCAGAGTCGTGCCTGTATGCCAGACAATGAGATGTGGCCACTGCTGCAGTTCATCAAAGAAAGAACACTAGGTTTCTATATTCTCCTCTTCCAGGAAATTTCTTTTCTTCTTTGGAAGGTCCCACATTTCTTTACTACTAGCAACCCACTGCTGCTATTAACTGTTCCCAGAATTATATCATTCAGGGTTCTCCTTTGCAAGCAGCTGACAGGCTAATAGAAAAAAAAATTGTCGCTATGGTACTCTTGTATCAGTATTCCTTTCACTGAAACAGCTAGTACCAAACTCATGTGTTTCTTATTGCACCAAATCTCTGTCAACCAAATCTCTACTGCACAATAATAAGAGTGACAGACATAGAAAACACTATACATATTCACTCCAGATATATGCTCTCCATATTTAATTAAATTTACCCCATGTACTGCAAGTTGAGGTGGTTCCTCTCAGGCCAAAGAACAAGGAACCTGGGGAGTGCACACCACAACACATAATTAACCCATGGAATTTATTACAATGTGGGGTGGTGGCCATTAACTTGGATGGCTTTAAAAAGGGATTGGAGAAATTCTTGGAGGACAGGTCTACCAAGGGCTATTAGTCTTGAAGATTCAATGTTACCTCCAATATGGGGGCGGGGGGTGTAGCATGCCTCTAAAGATCAGCTGTAGGGTAATATCAGCAGTAGAGAGTATGTCTCTATCTCCTGTTATGAGACTTCAGAGGCATCTGGTTGACTACTGTAAAAAACAAAATGCTGGACTACGATGGGCTTTTGGGCTGATTCAACAGGGCTGTTCTTATGTTTATTTATTTATTTTATTTATATATCAAATTTATACGGCTGCCCATCTCACACAAAAGTGACTCTGTTCTTATAGGCTAGGTTATAGGCCAGGCATTTTTCCTACCCTTTTAACAACTAGTGAGCCTTAATTCAGTGCAGATAACTGTTAAGTGAACTCATATCAGGTCCAGTCAGAAGGCAGCATGCATCCTAGTGAATAAGCATCACTGAACAAAATAGGAAAGCCTATGGAATAATATTATACAGGATCAGGTTGCAAGATGGCCACTCAAATGTTAGTGCAACTTTACATTCTGTAAAGTGTTTTCTTCTGTTTCCATGAACACTAGAGCATTGTAAGGAAAGGAAAGGTGAGTTGGTTATGATCTCTTTCCAGATCACCACCCCCAAGTTGAGAGCTGCGGGTATGTGGCTAATTACTCTGATATGTTGTTAGCAGCTCATTAGTAAGAGAGCACCAGACAGAGGACCAGTCTGTTCTGTGTATGCCCACCTTTGCTGTACCAAAATGGAATGGCAAGAAGCATCTGAGAAGTAGGAGGAAACACAAAGACTGTTCCTTAGATTCTGAGGGAATAAGAGTTTGCAGATGAGAATATTCAGAAAGAAACTCCTCCTGAACATGTAATGCTTTTCTTCAGTCTCGTGTAACTACAACCCAGGTATGGCCTGTTAAATGCACCAGTGACCCAACTGGATTTTCCAGACAATATACAAGATTCACTAATGCTCATTTTATATTTTACCTTGGAAATATATAAAAGTTGATAAATAAGGTTGCTGGTTTTACTCCAAACATGTTCCAGCCATGTAGGAATCCTAAAGCATGTAATTGGAGTGAGGTGGGATGGGGGGCTGAAA